AAACTCAGTGTAACTTTAGGCTCACTCTCGATAACGCAGACATTGACTGGGTAGACAATGCTAAAAATCTTGGCGTAACCATAAATAGAACATGTGACATGTGAACCTGTGAACATGTGACAAACATTATCAAAGTATCATTCTTCAAACTCAAATCGCTATACAAATTCAAGTATCAGTTATCAGAAGAAATGAAACTCAGGTTAGTTAAAACTCTTATTCACCCCCATATCGAGTATTGTTGTTCGCTGTATTACAATTTTTGGTCGCAATATAACAAGCAAATTACAACGTATACAAAATGCTTGCATGCGATTCGAATCCTGTATACCATATGGTAAACATGTCACACCATTTTTGTTAAAAATGAAGGAGCTGAATGTTAGGGACAATATTTGATATTTTTTTTTTGTTCAAGTTGCTTCAAACTAAAACACCAAGTTATTTATAAGTCATGTAGACACTCCAAACTCAAAAGTCCACGACCTCCCTGTTGTTGGGGGAAGTACAACCGTGGAACGGACGATTTGGAATGCAAACTCCTATAGAGATGCAGCATTTTTCGGGTCCTTACGTCGAGTTGATACAGCTCCTCCCGAGTCCACTTCACTACTCCAAACGAGTAGAGTAAGATTGGAACGGCAAGCATATTTGTTGCAGCTACTTTGTTCTTCCCCGACAGTTCCGATGACCAGATCTGTCCAACTGACCAACGCCATAATTTCTGCAGCTAATATATCTATAGGAAAGTACTCCACTAACGCATCAAAACGAACCGTTCCGTCGTGGAATAAATTCACGAGCACAATAACCACTGACACCTCTCCTTCTTTAATCTGGATTAAGATACGACAGATGAGAGGAAGAAACACCAATTATAAAATTCCTGGCCTAATCTACGAATGAAAAGTCACCACCAATGACCAACAAATTGCCAACATCCTTGCCCAACACTTTCAAAACAAAACAAAATCCAATCCAGAATCTCCAAACTCAACAAACAATCCACATCCTGAACAAACTTCCCACATTTGTCACTCTCTCAATCTTCCTTTCACTATTTCCGAATTAAACTCGGCCCTATTCACGATAAAGAACACAGCTTCAGGACCAGATGACATACCAATGATCTTCCTGAAATATTTACAGTCAGAAACTTAAATTAAACTGCTCGAACTTTACAACAAAATTTGGTGCAACCAACAATTTCCGGCTATATGGAGAGAACCAACCATTATACCAATAAAAAAGAACAACTCAAATACCAATCTTCCCAATTCCTTCAGACCAATTTCTCTAACATGTGCTTCATGTAAAATTCTCGAGAAAATGGTTAATAGACGCTTACACTGGTACTTAGAATCTCACAACCTCTTAACTTCAGAAAAGGCAGGTTTTCTATCAAACAGATGCACATTAGATAATTTGGTTACTTTACATAGACATCTCAGAAGCTTTTGAAAGTAAGAAGATCTAATTGCCGTTAGTCTAGATATTGACAGCGCCTTCGACACGATTCGCAAAACTACCGTTTTTGAAAAACTCATGGACTTTGGACTAACTGGAAACATTTTCTCCTTTCTACAAAACTTCTCAACCAACAGATCTTTTAAAGTTGTTACAAATGGACTGTCATCTACACTGCATTTTCCAGAAAACGGAGTCCCACAAGGCTCGGTTCTTAGCACCACAATATTCCTGATGAGTATCAACGACATCTGTACTTCGATAAATTCACCCGTCAAATATGTATTATACGCCGACGACCTCATCCTCTACTGTCAAGGCAAAGCCACGGTCAGTACTTGCACCTTACTTCAGAAGGCCCTAGACAGCATCCACAATTAGTCTCTCAAATCCGATTTCACTTTTCAACAACCAAATCTTATGTAATCCAGTTTAGCAAAAGACTTAATCCTCTACCTCCACAATTTGATGTCAATGGGGATCAGTTACAAGTGGTTGATCAACATAGATTCTTGGGAGTTACCTTTGATAAAAGACTCGCATGGAGAAAACATATTCAGGAGACAAAAGCTAACTGTCTGAATCGTATCAACATTTTAAAATTATTAGCTCATCATCAATGGGGAGCAGAAGAGGAAATACTAATACGGACTTACAGATCATTAGTCCGCTCCAAACTGGATTACGGAAGTATCCTTTATATGAATGCCTGCAAAACATTCCTCAAATACCTCGACACAATCCAAACCACAGCACTACGAATATGCCTGGGTGTCTTCAGATCCAGTCCGATGGAAAGCATTCATATTGAATCCTCTGAACCACCTCTCTATCTGCTAACCCACAAAACCGGTATTTGAATTAATTGATTCTATACAACCAGCTCCCCAAAACAGACTCCGAACGTCGCTTTCACCTCCACAATTATTATACCCTTTTTCAAGAAACACCAACCTCAAAGCTACAACTCTTATAAAACTGTCTAAAACTCCGCCATGGACCAAAAATCCGCCATTTTTGAATACATGCCTGAGGAACTACAATAAGCACGATACGCCTAACATAGTCTTCATACAAAGATTCAGAGAACTGATAAATAACCAGCAATTCGACAAAATCCTTTATACTGACGCATCCAAAGAAGTTAATGGTACCGGATGTGCTGTTACTACACTAGATGCAATAATAGCAACATACAAACTTCCCAATGTCTGTAGTATACACACAGCTGAACTATATGGAATATTACAAGCGTTGAGGTCTCCAGTAGAAGATAACAGACTCCCTTTCATCAATATTCTCTATCAAAAATAGTTACTCACATCATCCTTTGGTTCAAGATATCCTCGATACCTGCCACCACCATCGTACCAGAGGTGTCCTTGTGAATATCATCTGGATCCCTTCTCATGTAGGAATTACGGGCAACGAACGTGCAGACCAAGCAGTAAAACAAGCTTATTCCTCCGAATTGCCTGGGGAGCAAATCCAACTTCACCAAGACTTGAAATCAGCAGCTCGACAAATGATAATACAAACATGGCAAACACATTGGAACACATGTACCACCAAACTACATACAATCCAACCCCTGCCCACATACCTGCCCCAATACCTGCCCCCAATGACAAGAAAGGACAAAAGTGTTATAAGAAGACTCAGAATAGGCCACTCCCGACTCAGCCATGGATACTTGATGTCTTCACAAAATCCTCCTACTTGCGAATTGTGTGGTAATGCAAGACTCACAATTGAGCACATACTTTTGAATTGTATACACAACAGCCCAACTCGCCGCAAACACAAACACAGTGGAACTCTCATAGACATTTTCGGCCTACCTAACCAGCTCAGTGTCTTGATACAATTTCTCAAGGGCTGTCGACTGTTTCATTTAATCTGATTTTTTTTTGTTTTGTATTATTATGTAAATGTATCACAGATCCCGTGTCAGTGGCCATTAGATGCCCAGACACGCTAATATTAATAAAAAAAAACATTACCAAAATTGTTATTGTCGAAATTCTTTTTCGCTCCGTATCTTCGAAAGAAAGAATCAAATATCCCTAGAATAGTCCAAGGATAGTCCCTTGATTTTCTGCCGCATGTTTAATAAACTTGTATAATTTCTTGATATGTTGTGTTCTATTTTATAAATAGAACACAATATAACACAACATATAAATATGTTCAAATTTTCAAGACAAATCATGTAGAAACTATTTGATATATTCAAAAAAATCAAACGCTGTGTAGAAATCAAGATGAATATTTAGGGCAGAAAGGCAATGGGAATCCGAGAATCAATTAATGACTAGCGAATTATAAAACAAAATAAATGACCTCAGCACAAAAATATATAAAAACATTTTCATTTTACACACCCCAAGGACTTTCTGCCTCAAAACCAAATTCGATCAATCGAGTTCTGCAAACATATTTGAAAAAAATCTTATAGAAATGTTATAACTATGATCTTAACAATTTCTGTTACTAGAAAAAAAATGCATGTCAAAAATTTTGCAGAAAAAACTACGAAATCATTCTTTGCTTTTAGGGTGTATCGATCTTGCCTTCTCTGGTCATTATGCATGCATCAGTTCATCCTGGCATGGTTCCATTTGGTTTTTAATATTGTATTTGGGTCAGATCTATTTTCTCACTGTCGCTAAAATCACCAACTCAGCATGTCTTATTATCCTTCATATGAACTAATTTCATAAATTTAATATGGGATTCATCATTAGTAAGAACGTGAAAGTGTCTAAAATGGCCATGTCTTGTGTTTCAAGGCGTTTCTCAGTAAATTTGGTCAGGTAAAGGTCGTCATTCCGCGTGACTATAAAATTTTCTCTAAAGACACTTCTCCAAAGGCTGATAACGGCCATTCTTTCTCTGCATTCTGGAACAGATCAAGATGAAGTTGTCTTGTTTTATGGATCTTCAAAAATCCGAACTCGAATGACATTTGGTCGATTTGTAAAATTCTGGGTTTATTTTGAAAAACATGATTTTGTCAAGTTTTCTTGTTGAAAAAACCAGTCCATGTTGATAACTTTGTCTTTCTGGAATCCGTATCTTCTGCTTAGAGTTCATATTCTGAATACCTTGGGTAGGTTATTGAATCTAATACATTTTGAGTCACACATACCGCTGTTGCTAAGACCCATGCTATTATTCGCTCAAAAAGACCAATTATTTTTTCTATCCAGATATCTGCTGGTATAATATGAAGCACTTTCATTCATTTTTGCGTTGAGTTGAATTTTACAATTGGAAAAAATGCTGTGAAGGTTTCCACAAAGTAGACTTGATATTTTCTATCGCAATAATAATGATCAGAACCATATATTTCAAACTGATGAAGCGATTTATTTCCATTGAAAATATTAGTACCAAATACCAAGTTCTATAAGTTTAGTATATATTTATATGATTTTCTCTTGCACTATTGCGGTATCAAATCATAAAGATAAAGATAAAAATAGTAAGTGAACCTGTTAACTTATTCAACTGTGTTTTCTTCAGATATGGCGACATGGTTCCCGCAACAATTGCTGGAAAGATAGTCGGAGGAGTGTGCTCCCTGAGTGGTGTGTTGGTAATAGCTTTGCCAGTACCAGTAATTGTATCGAATTTCAGCAGAATATACCACCAAAATCAAAGAGCAGATAAACGGAAAGCACAAAGGGTAAGGATTAATTTTTGTTTGATACAATAAAAACCTAGAGATGACACAGCTAAAACTCCACCTTCATAATTTGAGATTCTGTCATTTTCACTTATGAATCATACATCTCATGAAGTACCAATTATTGCTGATAGGCGAGTAAATCTAACAAACTGTTGGAAAAGTACTATATTGCTGAATTTTTGACAGTTCAAAGTGGTTAAATCTGTACTTATACATGCGAAAGTCACTTAACACTCATTCATCTCTGTCTCTCTGTACTGGTGAGTCCTAGGTCCTTCTTAGGTCTTAAATGTGCACTAAGAAAGTATATAACTGGGCAGTTTTTCGTGGTGGTGAAAGGGAAGCGTTAACGTATGAAAATTACCTTTTTATCACTGTACTGCTATATTTTTAGAGGCTGAAATTTTATATGTAGGTTCGTTTTATGTTGTAAATGTGCAATAAGAAAGGATTTTTGAAGATTATAACTGAGGCTCCTTCCTGAGGATAAAAGGGACGCGTTTTAGATGTTCAATAAGAAAGAATTTTATAATACTCCAACTGGGTCGCCAGCCGCGAGGGAAAATGCGCGTTCATAAAATAAATTACCTTTTCATCACTGTTCCTACATACCGGTATATTTTAGGAGGCTGGAATTTTTGTATGTAGGTTCGTTTTTTATTGTAGAAGTGCAACAAGAAAAGGAGTTTTAAATATCCCAACTGTGGTTTCAGCCTCGGGGAAAAAGGCGTGTCCATGAAACGAAATTATCTTTTTATCACTATTTCTCCATGCCCTCAAATTTCTGGTGGGTGAGTTTATATTTAGTATCAGCATTGCACCTGTGTCGAGCCAAGGCGGCTCGCCAGTACTTCATGATTGTGGAATGCGGCAAGTAAGTACATTGAATATTGAAATAGCTTCCACTATGACCACTACTGGATTTTCATTCTGAAAAACATTCGCACAGTATCGAATGAAATATATTGGTAGATACCCTGCCCTGGTTATAAGAGAGCTGTAGGAGAAGAAAAACAAAGTGGACACTGAAGAAACGTATTCACTTAAGCATTTGCCCCGAATGAACAGTCGGGCCACGAAAAATGGGACACACAGCCACGATCCGCTTAAGCAATGAGCCACTGTGTCGACCTCGTGTGGCCCAAACACCCGACCCGGCTCTGTTCGGGTAGCAGAAAATATAGGCTTATTTTTTTCTGTCATAGTATCATCAGATCATCCTGTGTCACATCAGTTTATCTCGTTCATATTCGAAGAACATACCGAAACATCTCAAATCGTTGTGGAAAGATGAATGGAGTTATATGGTAAGATACCCCTTCATTCTCCATCCGCAAAGAAGGTTACCTTTATCATTTGAGAAGCATGCTACTGAAGAGGGAGAAGTGGGAGAAATGAAAACGATTAAGTCACCTGAAAATAAATAGTGTCAAGTATCAGGAATACGACAGTTGTCACTCGAAGACGATTGTGAATATTTACAATAGAAATGTCGTCGTTTAACTTGGTTTGGAATCATTTTAATTTTTTTATTTTATTTCATATACCATCCAATTTCTATATAACTGACATTTTACTCATTGTTTAACCCATTTATTGATTCATCTTAGTTTCAGGTCAGTCATTCCTTTGAAAATAGCGTTCTTATATTTTTTTAATTTCATTTCTATTTCAACTCACTAGACCAAAAATTTCAGTTCAAGTTTCCTTGGTATTTTCAACAATTTCAATATTTCATTCATTTTAATTTTATTTGTTCTTCCATAGAATGCAAATCAAACATATTTTTGATCAATGAAAATTCCAACTTGTAAGATTCACCAAAAAAGAAACAAACGCTATAAAGTACTTTCAGATCTTCAATTGAACCTTATTCGTGTGGTCAAATATCTCAGGAACACCAAGGAAGATCCATAGGTATAGAGAGTTATATTCCACCAGAATATTGTTTGCGCAACATTTTTTAACGAAATATAATCTGGGAATGGTAGTTTTTATGAAAAATGGTTTTTTCTTCCCTTTGTTGAGAACATATTCATTTACTTTGTGGGTTCAGGCAACAACATGATTTGAATTTTAATAAAAATGTTTCGTCTTTATACCTGAGATAATGTTCCGCTTCAATTTCCAGAAAGCACGGCTAGCCCGAATCCGAATCGCCAAAGCCTCCTCAGGCGCCGCTTTCGTGAGCAAAAAGAAAGCGGCTGAAGCCCGAATAGCTGCTCAAGAATCGGGAATTGAACTCGACGATAACTACAGAGACGAAGACATCTTTGAACTGCAACATCACCATCTTCTGCGTTGTCTGGAAAAGACGACCGATCGCGAATTCGTCGAACTGGAAGTACCCTACAACGGCCACCCTAAGAGGCCCGGGTCACCTTCTCCGATGGCCAGTCCAGCCCATTCCGCCGTATCGATAGGGCTACTTCAGTCCTGTTGCGGTCGTTGCTGTCCGAGGAGGTACCAGCAAACGTGTGGGAAGTACATGCCAGCTGCATCGGCAGCTCAGACCAACCAAACGGGCAGCGGGATGGATGGAACGTATCTTGTTGAGGCGTCTTTTTAAGACATATCACATTCATTGCCTTCAGTGTTACACCAATTCAATTGCTGGTTTTTTATACTATCGGCCTAACTGTGCGCTGCAAATTCCTCATTATCATAATTACATGGATATCAGTTTTCTAATTGTATCTGCTAAAAAAGTTCCTCCACTTCTCGATTTCTATCTAGGAATCTGGATAGTTCTTTCAGCTTCATATTAAGCAAACCAACACTACTTTCCTTTGGGCCTACGAAACTTTTTCGTAATACGTTTTCTGGTTTCGTAAACTGTAATATGTCTCAAGTAAAACAGCTGTGCTAAAGTTATTCCTAAAGGTGGCTTCACTATAACCATTGTGGCACATTTTTGAAGATCAGATGAAATCATAAAAACTGATGTTTGCTGTTCGAAAAATCTGAACAGACTGAACAGAAAAAATATGCATTGGATTCATTCATATCTGAACGTTACTATTAATAGGCAGAATAAATATTCACTTCAATCATGAAGTGAATATAATGCTCAAAAGAAACATGTGAATGTGTGAACTTCATATTTCAAAAAAATATATTGTGAGGCCACACAAACCTAATTGAACCCGATTCAATATATTATTGAATCACATTCAGATAAAGTTATATTCCTGCAATATGGTGTACAATATGGTGTATCTATATCACTATGGGCTTGTAGGATAATGGCTGGTTAAAACTTCTGAGGTTATTATGTTGTCTGGAGAAGTACCTACAATACTAAGTAAACTTCCAGATTTTTGAATCGATTTTCATTTGAAAATTTACAATATACCATACGATTATATTTTGGGGATAAATTCTAAATATTGATAAATTTTGAATGGCTAGGCCAATTTTCAGGAATGAAGTGGCGTTGGAAACTAAAAGAGGTTGAGGGGCTTGAGAATCCTAATCACAATTTTCATGCCATTAGATAGTATAATTGTTATTTTGTATTCAGAGGTCATCCCATGTGAATGATTTGATTGATTTTGGTTACAGAAGCTCAAACAAAATAAGTCACATAACTAGAAAAATCAATAGCATCATTTTTCAAACCAACTTTCATTTACATGCTCTGAAAAAAAATATAAACTTTGAATTGTATCAAAATCATCAATTGATCATATTTTTGGGAGAAGAGAATTTTTTTTTTAAGACATGGAAACTCTTCGGTATGGGACTTCACCTGTATTGATATTTTGGTTCATTTTCATCTTGAGTTGACTTCACAAACGACTGGTAGACTGAAAAATGAAACTGCAGAAATATAATTTCCTGAGTGTTCGATACATTTTCTATCCAATCGTCGTTGAAACATTCGGTAACTATGGTTTTGCCCCTGAATTTTCGAAAGTTATTCGTCAAAAACTGATTATAGTAACAGGTGATTAAAACAATTTTTTTTGGAACATCGAATCAGCATTGCAATTCAGTAAGGAAATGTTTTCCTTTCCCAAAATCTTTATGAAATCTTCATTCGCCCCCAAAAGTTGCTTATGTGCTTCAATTTTTATGACATTTATCTCCAGCCCTTTATATGAAAAATTATCAATACGCAGATGAAAGTAAATCAGATTCAAGTTCTGTGGATGAAAATAGTAGTGGTGAATGGAGCACAGTTTCATTATCAGAACGGGGAACAGTTTTTGGATTATTTGAATGATATCAATACTAGTACTTCTAGTCCGAAGGGTATTCTAATTAAAGCTACCGCAGAAATGATCAAAGAACTGTGGTCTGCAGATTTATTAGATGAAATGGTGAACACATCTTCCTCAAAAACGAAATTCAGCAGAACACCCATGAATTTCTCTGCTATCTTTCATTTTATAGAATCACCGATAATCCTGAATCAATCTTGACGAAAATTGATTTGAAATTGAACAACAGCGAAAAAGAACAAGTTCAGTGACAGTTTTGCCGCTCAGTTAATATCTATATTAAAATTTTCAAACTGTGTTCACTCTTTGATATTTTTCAATACGTCTGGAGTTTGTCTTTTCCCATGCCACAAGAACTGATCAAGTGAGATCATTACTATGTTTGGATAACTATACAAGGAAATCAAACTCTAAATGAGGACGAAAAACCAACGTGTTTGAAGTGCAAAGAAAGAAGAACATGTACGAAATCCTTCTCAATACATGCGTTTCTTGGAATTTCAGTAATAAGTGTGAAGAGATTTTCCCAAACAGATAGATTCAAAAGCAACTGAATGTTATCATAGACTTTCTTCTGGAATGTTTAGACATGGGTTATTACGAGTATACAGTAGATAATGTAGAACATTTTTTAATAATTTCTAAGCAGTGTCTAATCAAAATTGGACTACTTACAGAGGACATAACAGGACTAACTGTAGACTCCCATACATAGACAAGTGGCGTAAATACAACGATTTACAATGAATTTTACTTTAATAACTATATGTAATGAATCTAAAAAATGACTCCTCCTCGTTTGATTGATTTAATTTAAAGTTAATTTGTTTCGTTTCAGAGCATGTGAATATAAGCTTGTTGGAAAGAACATTTGTTCTCATATGAACCATTTCATTTCAAAAACTATTTGCGACCCTGGGAAATATGAAGGTTATAATCTACCGGCCATACCTAGCCAAAACTGAAGACGGAAACAGTTATCTTCTTTATTTCAACATATGATATCAAATTCAAGCTTCCTATCGATATGCTTATCGAACTAACAGTTCATGAGTAGATCATAGATATGTACTCGTAGGTGCAATCGTTGACTACCTTCCTGAAGGCCTTACATTTGAGAAAATCATGAACTATGAGTATTATAAATACTATCTATATTCTCCTACATTCGAATAGTTTATTATTCTTAGAGAATTTCAAATCTTCTCTATAAATGGTCCACCGAAAATAAGGAGTTGTGAAAGAGCGTGACCTGCACGTTATTTTGCACATGTTCAGTGTTATTGGTCAACGAATTTGAGCCCTCGACCCATTATCTCACAGGCAAACAAATTCCGTTATTTTCAGACTGCTCAAATCATTTTTACACTATTTTCTATTCCGTAGTTTTGATTTCCTTTTCCAATTTGCCTTGAAATTCTTTTCAAAATTGTAAACGTGCAAAATTTTCGTGCTCCATACTCGTGACGCTGTTCGTGTGGGAATATCAAGAGACACTTGATAGGAAAAAAATACCACCATCTGACAACCCACTGTTACTGATAGTGATGAGAAATTGGGAAGTTATTCTTCATCCAAAACAACGCTTATGGTGAAGATCAGAACAATTCCTTAACCTCCCATATCATGTAATGTCGTTACATGGCAGTGTAGATGAATATTTCAATATGCTGGGAATCACACGTTGAAAAAAGTAAGGACCTTGTTCTTCCTCACCTCATATAAGTTTGGATTATCAATTGCTGTATCATTTTCCAAATTTCTAACTAATCATTCCAAAAAATATTTCATCTCAGGAGCTTCAAAGTCTGACATATGAGTTTTTTTGTTGAAATTTGCAAAAATAAAATACGAAATTTGATTAACTGAAAACTGAGTTCATGAGAATGATAATGACGTATTTGGGAGCCGTAATAGTGGAAAGCATATAGTAAACTCTCCAAAACTGTTTTTGTTATTTTAAAACCTCTGCTGATATCGATAGTGATCTGAATATACATTATAGCAGACTCATATCGATATCAGTCACATTATTTCATATATTCTGCTCCAAACCCAAAGAATGTTTTGTGGTTATGTTTCATGATCATATGAGAAGCGCTCAGTTAGTTTTATAAGAAAGATGATGGCTCAATCTTTGGGTTCGGAAAAATAATTGTCTTCGCTCAATGAATTTCAAGGTGAAATTTTCATCATTTATTTTTCAATATTGAGAAAGCAACTTCTCAGTTCATTTTTACAGTTGTCAACTTTTTCCATAAAAAGTTTCGTGAGCCAGATCTTTAACTGATATCGATGTATTAGTTAGGGAAAATAATTTACGCATTCACAAATACTTTTTCTTGAGAATTCAGTCCTAGAACATGAGGACAAGTTGGTTAGATCTGTAAAGGTATCGTTTTTACAACACTCATTCACTCCTATTAGCATGTTTCTTTAGTGGGAAATAAACACACACCTAAAATTCTTAATGGAAAGTGGGCCTGTGTAAAACTCCTATTGGGAGGAGATCAATATCTTTCTTTATGATTTACAATCATCAGCTAATGTATTTTATATTACCTGTTGAAACGGTTGAAGTTATTTGACATAAATAATTCTTTCATCGAAGAAAATATTGTAAATTTCTGTACATCATAAGGTTTCCATGACCAGAAGTATGAATAAGAAAAAGGGTCACTAGTGCCACCAAACTTGAAAAGTCTGATCGCCTCTAAAGAAAAGGTATCGCAGGACGTGGTATACACTCGGTGAGAGTTTTTCCGTGGTCGACGTTTCATATTCATCTCATTTGGAGTTATTAAGACGTGTTACTGTGTTGATGTCAAGAAGTGTAGATGAATACAAAAAGCAGTTTCTTCTTCAAAATATAAAGAAGAACTTAATCTAAAACGTAATGTTATTACCAAACAGGTCCATCATCATCAGAAAGGGAAATGTGTTGATAGACACCACATTAGGATACATGATGGAATTTTCTTCAGTGACAAACAAAAATCTGAAAATATAACAACAAAATAGTGAAAAACACAATCTCTATGTCTCACAATAAAATAATAGCAGGTACTGCTATTATCAAATTTTTCTAATATAGATCTTCGGGTAGTTATTGTTGATTAGTATACAGGTACAAAATCCAATAAGCGGAAAATAAGTTACCAAAGTTCATTCAACTGTTTTCAAATATACAAGAATCGCACAGAAAGTTCAATAACTTGAACATGAAAAACATGCAGTATAATCCAATATTTTCAAGCACCATATCAAGGTCGCCCACCCCCCAGGATACCATTATAATGGCACCCTTAACCGACATCAAGTACCACGCCATCGATGAAAATAGTTTTTTCAATAATACAAACTGACTTTTATGCCACTTGGTTGACAGTAGTTCAAGCTCACCAAAACGGTTTTCAAAATAAAATATTATTTCTTGTTATGTTGTTGTAGAGAAAAATATAAAATTTCGACCCTCAAAGTGTTTATGAAGAATCCAATGTTTCTTTAAATGAAGCCGAGTATCTTTGATGCGCTTATAATCTGACGGATATGAGGAATGAACACCGGATCTCTTAATAACAGAGTTTTCGATCATACAAAGCGCATCATAAGTGTTACTCCCCTATTTAACTCGTTACTGGACTCTTGTTAGGAAAATCGCCAAGACACGTCGAATTTTTATTTCAACAATGTACATTTGAGTTTGAACAGGTCACCCCTAATTTCATTCCTTACTGGAGGGAAGCAACCCTTTAGAAAAATTTAAATAGCATGGGGTGGTGATTGATAGCTTATTTGATAGCGGGTTTTATTCTCTATTCAGCCGTGCCATGAAATTTGCTACATAATTTCAAGAGTTACGATTGTTCAAGAATAACGACAAATGACGTAGCGTAATCGCCCTTAGAATTAAAAATTCGGCCCATTATGATATCGGTTTCGGTTCAGACGTCAAGTGAGACATATTTGTCATTTGCTCAGATATCAACTGCACGTTTTTGTAGGTGTTCTTGGATGTTTGGGGATAAATGGTCAATAAAAGAAACTGATATCACGGAGAGTGCGAGCCAGTGTATTCTAGCTGTTAGTTTTGCTTGCTATTCATCTTCAAACAATGGTTGCACCATGTGCTTTGAATGGGAAATGCGAAGCGATTGTTATTTTGGTGAGGCTAATCGCAATTTTCATGAGGCTGTACGAATGTTCAATGAACGTTTTCCAGATCGCCCTATTGATAGACACTATTTCAAACAGTTAGTGGAAACATTTTATGAGAACGGTAGTGTGCAAAATAAAACACGTTCTGAACGATCAGCTACAGGGGAAGATAAACAAGAGGACATTATGAGCGAGTCTGTGAATAATCCGTCTTCATCGAATAGAAGTGTTGCTTTGAATTGTGAGGTTTCGCAGATGACGGCATTGAGAGTTCTGAAAAAAATAAACTCCATCCCTACAAAATAAAAATGTTGTATGAACTGACGGACGAAGAACCAAACAGACCGCTGTCTAGAATATTGTGAAATTGTCTCTAAAAATATTTTGCAAAATCCCAGCTATTTGAAACACATTTGTTTTAGTGATGTGGGTAGCTTTTTTTTCAAACGATCACGTGCATACACAAAATGTGAGGTACTGGCCGGATGAAAATCCTCGACTTTTTCGCTAAACTCGTACCCAGTTTCCCCAAAAAGTTGATGTGTGGGCAGGGATACTGGGTGACCACACTATAGGTCCGTTATTCATTGAGGCAAATCTGACTGGTGCCCTCTATTTGGAAATGCTGTAAACAGTGATAGATCTATTGATAGTGTCATCTGTCGAAAATAATTTTGACTAATTTGACATGGAAATTATTCTGCAACAAGATGGAGCTCCTCCTCATGTTGCAGTTGAAGTGAGGACTTATTTGAATACTGTTTAAGCAGGACGATGAATCGGGCGCCAAGGATCTGTGAAATGGCCTCCAAGATCACCAGATCTTACTCCTTTATTCCTTTAGGTTTAGCTAAAATCTGAAGTTGACGAGACTCAGTGTCAATCTATTCAGGAGTTGCGTGCGCGGATTATGGAAGTGTGTGCAACCATTACTCGCGATACTTTGCAAAGCGTCAGGATTGAAACTGAAAATAGACTCTGTTATTGCTTGGAGGTCAACGGGGAACTTTTTGAACATTTACTGTAATAACAGGAAAAGTTTGTGTTAGTTTGGATGCCTTTCTGTTTGTGGTGTAATTTTTTCACACGGTTGAATAGAGAATCAAACCCCTTTTTCTAATGAGTTATCACTCACGACCCCATGCTATTTAAATTCTTCGACAGGGTTGATCCCCTCCGATAAGGGATGAAATAAGGGCAGAACTATTCATACAATAATGTGCACTGTAGAAATCGGCATGTCTCACCGATTTCCCTAACAATAGTCCAGTAGTTAGATAGGGGAGTAACACTTATGCTGTGCACTGTATAGTTAGTAACGAATTCGTTCTTAATGTAACAAAAAGCATTTGGATGAGTATATGTTCAGTCTATTCATCATATAAATTAGTCTGTGACAATCGACAGTCGTCTAGTGAGTTCATTTTGGAGAAAATCTCCATATCATCTGCGAAAATTAGCTCATTACAATTGACTGAAGTTATAAGATCATGGATGAAAATCAGAAAAATTATATGTCTCAAAATATATGCTGTCGATAGTCTGGATATTTTTTCAGGAAATCATTACTATTCAATTTAGAGAGGACAATATAATAATTGATTTGATAGCAGGCCTCTCTTGTTTATATATCTATGCAGGCCTCATGTTCATCTGTAGTTTGACCTTGATGAATTAACCTTCCAACCATTTCCTGAGAATATCATGCAAGTGTCGGTGGTAAACAATAATATTTAGAGATAAAGCCATAGGACTTTTCAAAAATCAGAAGAAGTGTTTTTGTGTGCTTTAGAAAAAGAAATAATCTCGCAGTTTTCGAGAACTATAATAGGTGACAACGAATATCTATAAATTCAGTTGCAATATGAACATAAAATTCATTTTCATTCATTGCTGTTAATTATATTTGATTTAAAATGAAAATGTTTATGTTTGAGCTGACTTAGTAGCCGTCATATGAGCGTGATTAGGTAAATTTTAGAGTAGTCCAGGTCCCCAACAATACGGTGACAGTGGAAAAACTAAAAGAAGGACAAAACTCTTCAGCGAAATTTTGTAAAAAGGACATTCTATTTCAATAGTGCAATTTTGGTTAGACGAGTGCTAGCGAGTCAGCTTCTAATTTGAACACTACTAAATTGAGAAATTGTAATTTCTGTTGGTTATGGCCAAATTTTACGAAAACTACAAAACGAACTCATATAGTATTTTCTCACCATACCAGACCAATAGGTACAGGTGGATAGAGGCAGGTGGGTAGTACCAAAGTGAGTATCTATTCGATTGCCTATTCGTCCTTCTATGGCAACCAGTAAGAATTCCAATATGCATTGAATGAGCTCGTTTTTCAAACGAAATGTACTGGGTGTGATTTTATCCTAGGAGGTTGGAAATTTGACTTGTAAGTGTAATAATCTGGTTCATGAAAACGTCTTGGATAAATACTGATGAAAATATTCAGTTATAAGGCACTGAGGCACTGGTGTATTTCATTACTACACTATACACAGTCTGTCCGAATTTCAATGTTACTTCCATATTGGTTTTGGAGAATTATTGGACATGCAAAAATATCAACATAGGTCGATACGAAATATCAGTTTTCAGTAGCGTTCTTTTTTCTGATTCCCGAATGTAAGAACATATACAATACCTACTCAATAATAATATGTAGGTACGATATTCCAATTTCAATATTATTGAAAAGATATATCCAACAGAAGTAAAACCACATGCTCAAATGCAAGATATCAAATATATTTTTTCTCAACCTCAAGGCAAAAAATACAA